TTTGCAGGTATCCCACCATTTCAACGTCACTCTGTACCTGCAGCCACGAGGTCTCACAGCGCAGACGTCGCCCAAACACCCAACCCAAAGTGTTTTACAACGTGCCACGATCCGAGGCTTCACTCTCCTCCTGGACCATCTCACCCACACCACTCTTGACAAAGGCCTCTCCCACCGAGATACTCTCTTCCGAGGAGACACGTTTCCGGTCATCCAGCCAACCGTACGAGCCGCCACGAGAGGATACCACAGTAGAGTAGCCAGAGTGCATGGCAATTGAAAGGAGGGGATAGTCTCGATTTGCTGTCTGCTATGAATTTGGACCAGCACATATATGGGTACGCATCTCCATCGTAAGACTTGATCGACTCCTATCTGTGTGTCACCCAACAAATCTTTTTACATCTCCCAACCCGGTTAAGGGATGACCATAGCGCTCTATGTCCCTCTTCATTCTTAATCTTGATTTTCATGATCTGCCTGGGGGCTCCTTGAATGAAAATGGAATCTGTACAGTCTGTCCTGCCTAGTTTGCACCTTCTGTCTTTCTACAACACCTTGGCTGCTGACTCCTTGGCAGACCCTAAGATCAAGATAGAGCTAACATGCTGTATGTACTATTAGATTTACGGATTGGCATCTTCCAAGCCCGTCCTCCACCCCAAAGTCGGCAACATTCCCTGAAGCTTTTAGCCAAACTCCCAAATCTGAGACCTTCCAATCTCACTTCCTCGACGCTTTCTCCACACCACGGGTCAATGGGCATCGTACTCCTGCACAAACACCGCTGTTCCTTGGTTCGACAACCTTAGAACGACCCTCAAGTTCCTACAGCCATAAAGGGCATAATCCCGAAGATCCCGAATTTCATGTCAACCATTTCACCCCGAACGGCCATCTTCCATTACCGCCGGTAGAACCATCCCGGAGGTTGTCATCGTCTCCCGATCCTTTAGCGGTTAAGGCAATCGCCCGGGGCGCTCTCCAGAGGGCCTTTTCGGCATCAAGGGCTATTGGTAACAAGACTATGGACACATCACAAATGCAGACACCGCCTCCAACAAGAGACTCTTCCTCAAGAAGGAAAAACCAAACCCTAGGGGCTGAGTTAACCACACCTTCCACAACGATGCCAAGAAGAGTGTCAACTCCTGCCACTGCTGGCCACGCTCAGGGGGGCGATTTCTACGGGCAAACACCTCTTCAATTTCCCGGCTTGCAGTTTTCTCCTGATGTAATCCAATTCCCAAATACCGGTCCCATGTCAGCGCCGGCTTTCCCGCAATCTCGATTATTTTGGGATCAGAACAACGACGGCAATCGGATGGATGTTGATGTCCCCGTTACCTCCGATGCATTTGGCTCTACTCCTCACAAACTTGATATACCTCTAGGGTGGCAATCATTTGGCTCGCCATCCAATCAATTAAACCTGCAGGCATACCAGGATCTCAATGGTATATCGACTCTCAACCAAGCTGCCCCCTTTCTGACAGATAGTATGAATGTAGAAGATAGGCCTGTTCGTTCACGCCCAAGCTCGTTCATTTCTACAACATCAGGAGTAGACCCTAGCTTGCTGTTCAGTTTTTCCAACCCAACAAACCCATTAGCCAGTACATCTTTCAGTTCTCAGCTCCCTGATGCCGGTGTCAGCCATGAGGGTAAGCAGCCTTATGAACACCAAGTCCGAGAGTCCTATCGGGAAAGGGAATTAGCAAGGCAAGCGAAGAGTCAGCACTCACGGACCAACACTTCCTCCTCATCTGGGTCCGGCCAAGGGCTTTCCCGGCCTACTTTACAACGCAGTAATACAGACAGTGGCTTTAGGAGGGGTAAGGCTTCCTCTGTTGATTCAAGATCATCAGGTTCTAGTGCTGGTCACCATATTCCACGACGATCTTCACCACTGAAACGGCAAAGTCAAGGTTCCCTCACTTCTATACCGGAGGTTACAAGAGCCCGACCTAGGACTCGTCTTGTCATCGATGAAACAGGTCGAGCAAGAACGGAAACCGATCCCGTAGATGACGAAAATTATGTTCGCAAAGATCTAAGATCACAGTACCCTGGCCTTTGGAATGAGGACGATAGCGATTCTGACTTGGATCAACCAGCTCTCAGCCGAAATACTTCGTTCAGTATTCCTCAACCAATCCGTCGCTCATCGAAGCATGCTAGGGCGGACAGTAATTTGGATCGGTCGGACTCTTTCAAGATGCCCAGGGCTTCTTCGATGTATTTTGAGGGTAGCTCTTTTACCGCACCCCGTTCTGGTAGCAGCTTTGACCAAAGCAACAATCAGAACGCATCCAGTAATTCGTTCAGGAGATACAGCATGTCTAGCTTTGGTGCATCATTTGGCGAACAAGCCCAAGGCATCAACGAAACCACCATAAATCCTATCGATTCTGCCGGAGATGCCCAGGGTGCTTTGAAAAAGGTTGTTGAAGGTCGGTTGAAAAGAAATGGTAAGTCATCGTTCCGAGGGATTGCGAAATCATCCTAACATGAATTTACAGAACGCAGTGTGCAAGGTACCCTCAAAGCCCATAATCAACGTTGGGCACAGGCGTCCTCTGATCTTTCCAAACCAAGCGCCAATCCGCAAGTGTCATACGACCCCTTTTCAAATACTCTGAATGGCTCTCCGTCAACAATTGCCGACCCAGATTTTGCTACTCCCAGCACGGATCGTAGTAGCCTTTCAAGCGAAGGGACTCGCTGTGTCTGCAACACGAACGATTACGACGGTCAGCTAATGATACAGTGCGAGTCGTGCACCAAGTGGTTGCACGTACGTTGCGTTGGCCTAAACAATCAGAACCTCCCTCCAGTGTACGTCTGCATCTTCTGCACTGGTCAGACTCCAGCTGTTAGAGGAGGTAGAATTCGAGAGCCTGCCCGAACTATGCCGCAATACGAGTCGCCACTTACTCATAAGTCGATCTATGGCCGATAACCATGACCTCTCAGGATTTCAGAGGCTGAGTTAGTCCGCATAGACCTAGAACTTGCGGAATCCAGATTCCATCTATGCACCGACTATACTCAACATCCATACCACCCTCATTGATATCCCTCAACCCCTCCCAGGACTGTAATCGAGTACTCAGCTTTGTCTGTTTACATTAGCGTTCTTGTCTCAGTCGCATCTGATATACAACGCAAGATACCCGCCATTCTAAGAGGATACGTGCCGTGTCTTTCCAACAGCATACCCGATATGGACAGCATATCACATTTTGACAGCGTTCTGCATCTTTACATTCAGCGTTCGCCTACCGCATACTTTCTTAGCGTGATTGCTCGCTTGGCTTCCCTTCGCGACGCTCCTTTTTGGTTTGGGCAACAGCATAAGTCTCCTTTCAGGCATCTATTTTGGCAATGCTAGAAAATCTAGTCTGGCACGGGGTTTTTTAGGGCGCTGCCGCTAATGTTTTGTCAGTCGCTCATTCTCGGAGAATGTCTAATGCTGAAGTCCTGTTTTCTAATTTTCTCTCGATGTGTTTTGGATATTATTGGAAGACGAGATTGAAGCTACGAAGGCTAATGCTTATTTGAGTAATGATTGGGCATGGAAAATTTGAGGGATTCTTTGTAGATATGGTAGACACGGGAATGAACATATTGGCAATATCAACAGTCTCTACACTTTCGCTTCGTGACAGGCTAGTCCCTCGGTCTTTTCTTATCATCGTGATCTTTGGGACCGGCAAGGGGTTCTCCGCGGTAGATATCAAAAACTGCGCTCCATTTACATATGGCTACCAAATGTCCGAGTTTTGTTGAGTACACTTGAGGCGTTTCAGGGCTTAAGTGCCGACATGCTTTAGCCCTTCAGGCTAGATGAGCGAATGTTTGAGATTTATAAGTTACTAACCTATCGTTGTTAATGCCAAGCATTATAACCTTCTCGACATATCGCATTGCCGTTCTTTATCGAGCCTGAATTACGTGCACCGCTAGATACTACGAACCGCTACCTAGGAAAGTTATTTCAACGCACCGAATGGCTTATTTGGGTGTCCCAAGCCGGCTCAGAATATCTCTCGAGTATGCCATACAAGGTCCCCCCAGCACTATATCACAGCTCTAAGACCAATGTCACAAAGATTTTCAGAATGCCTTATATGCCCGAGAATTCGTTTGAAGCTACTCCTCTATTATCCCGAACGTCTTTAGAGAGCGCCTCATGCTTTCGTTGGTAACGGACATATGTCCCCCAAGCTGGAGTTTCGCACAACCAAACTATAATTACGACAATATATTTAATACTTTAACTTGACAGATCATACAGTCCGTTCTCGCGCACCGCTTAATAGAGTATATCTTATTCCATTTATTTCACAACCCAAGGTTTAGTCTGCACAGAGATTTCTAGTCCCTCTAGTTCCCCTTTAGTTTTAGGAATCAAAACGATAACTTATATTTTGAATATCAAACCAGGTAAAAGCAACTACCTCGTAAAGAATCTTATGCATGTTTACGGACAGCGTCTACGATACAGGAGGTATCGCACAAGACATTATGTGAACCACCAGGTTACCTTATCTCTAGTGTGATTTAGGGGGTTTGATTTTGTTGGCAGGGGTGACTGTAGGGGCATTCACAGGAGCTTTCTGTAGTCACGTGCTGGCTTGTATACAGGTTCGCTCGCATGCAACGACTCTACTTTATAAAGTCCTCACTACCATACCCTACATCCCTCGTGACAGACTTTGAGATACTTCGTCTAGGGGAAAGTTAGGCCGGCGTTGGCTTATTCTGGATGTAGATGAAATCGAGAGATCAACTGAGGATGCTAATTGAGAGTTGAAGTGGGGGAACAGGGAAAATCTCTGTTGCCTTCTTCTCAGCCCTTGTTGGTATATATTTACATGCCAGAGAAACTGGTTGCACCTTATTGAGGTGCAGTATGCAATTATGAAAAACTATGAAAAGTATAATTATTCATTATTTTTCGAGATCATCAAAATCAGTCCAATTTGACAGTGGTTGGGGGATTGGCGCAATGGTAGCGCGTTGGTTTTCGGTTCTAGCTGTCCACCAAAGGTTGTGGGTTCGAGCCCCATGTCCCTCGTTTCTTTTTTTGGTTTCCAGCCCATCTTGGGCCATGATCCTGTGATTATAAGATTGGGAGGCATTGTGGGGGGCGCAAAGGGCCCAAATTTTTGGCTCCAAGCGGTGCCCGGATTGGAAGTCGGCATCGGATGTGACTGAGCCGGGCCGAAGTATACCCCTCGATATCGTAATCTTCGGACGATGGAATGGAACGATTCCGCACGTCTTACAAAACATGCCCCGTATATGCTTTGAAAATGAATAAAGCAATTGCACCAAATCCACAAGCGAGGACTATATATCCCATAGCATGGATTCATGCAGCAGAGCCTCCTTTCAAGGACCATGATCATAAAACGACCCTCTTTCCTTTTAGCCCAACTACTGTCTCTTAAACACATCCGCTCATCTACTTTCGCAGTTGCTGAAACCGCTCCCCTACCAAACAACATCTCCATACCAATCCCCCAAAACAGTCTACAGCAATTCCCCCTCTCGTCCCTCGTATCCCCAAACATGACGCTCGCACCCGTAATCTGCGTCTCGCACGGCGGCGGGCCGCTGCCCGTGCTGGGCGACCCAATGCACAAAGAAATCGTCAAGTCGCTGCAGACGCGGGTGCCGGCGCTGCTGAAGCTGGGCACGCCCGAGGCGCCGCGCGCCATCGTGCTCGTCACCGCGCACTGGTCGGAGCGCAACCCGACGATTTCCAGCGCGGCCAAGCACGAGCTGCTCTACGACTACTACGGCTTCCCGCCCGAGAGCTACAAGCTGCGGTATGACGCCCCCGGGTCGCCGGAGGTGGCGAGGGAGGTTGCGGCTGCGCTGAAGGGGGTCGGGTTGGAGCCGAAGTTGGATGAGACGAGAGGTAATGAACCTGCCTGCCTGCCTACTACCTTACCTACTACCTTACCTACTACCTTACCTACCACCTTACCTACCTACCTGCCTATCTGCCTACTACTACCTCACCTATCTACCTTATCTATCTACCTACCGCATGAACCCCCCTCCCCTCTTTTCCCTTACCCCCTTTCCCATCCCTGGTCCCCAGCACCAACTAACCAGCAACCCCCAACAGGCTGGGACCACGGCGTATTCATCCCCCTACTCCTCATCAACCCAGCGGCCAACATCCCGATCGTGCAACTCTCAGTGCTGCGCTCCGAATCGCCCGGCGCCCACTTCGCCATCGGCCGCGCCCTACACAGCCTGCGGGCCTCGAACGTCGCAATCCTCGGCTCCGGCTTCGCCAGCTTCCACAACCTGCGGCTGATGTTCGGCGGCGCGGGGTCCGACCCGGCGTTCCGGGCGCGCAACGCGGCGTGGAGCGAAGCGGTGGGCGAGGCCGTGGTGGAGGAGGCCGGGTGGGAGGAGAGGGGGAGGCGCG